TCTCGCCTCATCTCGCCTCATCTCGCCTCACCTCGCTTCATCTCGCCTCACCTCGCTTCATCTCGCCTCACCTCGCCTCATCTCGCCTCACACCTCGCCTCATCTCGCCTCACCCGGCACACCCGCTCGCCTCATCTCGCCTCACCTCGCCTCATCTCGCCGAGGTACACCTCGCCTCATCTCGCCTCATCTCGCCTCACCTCGCCTCATCTCGCCTCATCTCGCCTCATCTCGCCTCATCTCGCCACTCGCCTCATCTCGCCTCATCTCGCCTCACCTCGCCTCATCTCGCCTCATCTCGCCTCATCTCGCCTCACCTCGCCTCATCTCGCCTCATCTCGCCTCATCGCCCCTCACCTCGCCTCACCTCGCCTCATCTCGCCTCATCTCGCCCCACATTTTTTTCTTTTCTAGACCACTCCGAGACCGACGCCCAAGACCGACCCGAGACCCGAGATCGACCCGAGATCGACCCGAGATCGACCCGAGATCGACCCGAGATCGACTCGAGATCGACCCGAGATCGACCCGAGATCGACCCGAGATCGGCACGAGCGATCAACCCAACAATGCCCCAGAGCCCCCTCCGGGGGGACCCCCCCTCACCCCGAGTGTCCGTGTCCTTCGCGAGTCACCGATGGGGAGCGGGGGGGGGTGCGAGATGCACAGGGGAGGCTGGGGAGGGGGGGGTCCACTCTGAAGACTGCCGACCGCGGGGGGGTTTTGTCCCACAGGGTTTTACCCTCCGCGTGAGGATCGGCGCGGCGAGGGGGTAGGTTCGAATTCGCCGCGCAACATTTCACCCCCACAGGACCCCGCCCACCCCCCCTCATGGTCCCACCTAGTACCCCAATGAGCCTTCGCACCCCCTCCTTGCGCAGTGTCCCCCACTATGTGTCGCCGTTATCGGGGCACGCTATCCTGTGTAGTCACCAGGGCAAGTGGGGGCGGGGGGCACTCCCATCTCTCCTGTGTACGGGTGGTGACTGTCTCTAGTCTCGGAGGGGGGCTTGAAGCTAAGAATATTTTATTTTTTATTAAAATTGCTGCCAAGTTTTTCTTAGGGATTTGCTTCGTAAGCTGGACGCCCCAGCCGGGGCAGGGTACCCTTTTAATTAAGCCTAGTGGCGTACCCTAGGCCGCAGCGATTCCAGCGGAAACCGTCTCCCAGACCCATCACACCGCGCCGTCCTCATCGCACCCACCCCCTCCTCAGCGCTTCACCCACGCGAATTTCTTCCGCGCGCCCGCCTGGCCCGGCTTCTTCCTCTCGCGCTGCCGCCGGTCGCGAGTCAAGAAGCCGGCCGACTTTAGTGTCGGCCGCAGGTCAAAGTTGAGGCCCTGCAACGCGGTGGCGATGCCGAGCCGGAGCGCCTCCGCCTGGCCGGAGCGGCCGCCGCCCCGGACGGTCGACATCACCGAGTAGAGGCCCGCGGTCTGCGTCTTGAAGAATGGCGACAGCGCCGCGTACCGCAGGTCCCAGTGCCCGCCGAAGAACTGCGAGACGGACTGGCCGTTGACCGTCACCTGCGGCGCATCCGGGTCCTCCGACTCCCACACCCACACACGCGCGACCGCGCGCTTGCGCCGGCCAACGGCGTGCGCGCGGCCGAGGTGGTCGACTGAGACGTACTTGCGAGAGGTGTCGCCGGCCGGCCGCTCGGACGGGGACGGGCCGCGCACCGCGCCCGCGATGCGCAGCGTGCCCTGCACCCCGTCGCCGGGGCCCGCCGCCCGCCCGGCGAGGGTGGAGCACACGCGCC